CAGATATCAATTTCCCAATTTGCTAGAGTGATGCCCTTGGGTGCTCAAGAGAACCTACTATAGCTACATTATTTCAACATATTCGGAAATGAGTCAAAAATATCCCCCATGATCAACTTACTGGAATGAGCACATACAGAAAGCCCTCCTTCTGAATGTCCTATTCTGGGATCTATGCCTGCAAGGAGGGGCTCTTTGGAAATCCTTTTGAGATGGAGTTGAAATTTACACATGCTATCAATATTGTGAATTTATCCTTAGAAAAGAGAGAGCATTTAGAGATCTTAAGCATATTTCCTTAAAGAGAAATATTGTTCTGGTAAAGGATAGTGATGATCTGAAATCTAATGCTATAATTTGTATTTCAGAGCTTCCCCCCTCACCTCAAAAAGTAGTTGTATCCTGGACAGTATCTCATGACTGACTACAGGCAAAATATGATATCATTCATCACATGGGAACATTCCAGACCAACACCCACTTGGGATGTTTTTGTGAGCAGGAGATTTTGATAATTAAAGATATTTTTCTTTTGTTCAAATATATGTATATGTACATATACAGGCATATATACACATAATAAACACATGTGTATATATACATATATGTATATAATATTTACCATATCACTTCAACGTTCCCAATCTAAAGTTTTGCCTTATCCTTTTACCTTTACCTACCCACCCAAACAATTCAATAAGGAGAAATGCAGTGCTTACTTTAAGACTGCCATTTTAGGGGGAAGAGGGAGTACCAAATAATCTGGTGGACTATATTCTACCACTAATGCACATCCAAAATAAGTAAGGGCTGAATTCTGGGAAAACTCTGAGAAGATGGAGAAGAAATGCCCCATTCCAGACTTCCATGTTATCTATCAACTACATTTTGACATGTCTTTACTTTGTGATACCCATACAATCTTCTAAGGGCTACATTTTCCAAATTCTCTGAATTCTTTTCACACAGCAACTTAATGCATGATTTCTGAAGCTTGTGGCTGCCTCTGAGACCCTTTCTTCTGGTCACTGGAGGCTTTTCATTTTCCTCTTGTCAGCATTATATCATAACTAATGGAATGGCCCATTAAAATAGAAATAGGCCCATCAAAGTCAAGGAAATGGGTCTTTCCATAAAGCTTTCCACAGGGCCTCTATGAAGGGCATGACTCTGATCCTCCCTTTTTTCTTAAGTTTACAAATTATGGCAAAAGAAGAAACTCATACCCCTAAGACCAACACTGAGATTCAGATCTAAAACACTGTCTTTTACTTCTCAGGCAATAAGGGTTAAGGAAAACAAATAGCTAGCTAGCTATTGATGCACCACAGACTTTTCCGTGTGTGTGCTAAAGCAGGTCACACACAGACAGCTTCACTGAGTCTCCTGTTTTCCTTCTGTAGAGTATGAATGCCCACACTTTATTAACTTCATAGAAATAAAAGGTTCTGGGCTCTCTAATGGCTAAGACATTACTTTTAGTCAGCTTAAATAAAGACATTGTTATTTTTCTTAAATAATATAGAAGTGTCGCTATTCTACAAGATTAAAATTAGAGTTTTGTCTTTCACAAATAGAAACTGTGGTTTAGCTCATTTTTCTTATGGCTACATGACTCATGATCAACTCAAGTCAACCAAGAAGCATTTATTAAATACTTCCCATTTACCAGGCTCTGTGATAAGCCCTGGAGATAGGAAGACAGAAATGGAAAGTTTCTGCCCTCAAGAAGCTTACATTCTTTCTAGGAAGACAACATGTACAGATAAAAGTACATCTGAAATATGTATAAAATGGATAGAAGGTAATTTTTGAGGAAATGCATTATTGTCCGAAAATGCACACCAAGCTATCAGCATTTTTACTTGGCAACTTTTCTAAGAAACACAGTTTTCCATCTCTATAGAGGATCCAATTAAGTCTTCTCATCTTAGAAAGTCAAGCTTATTATTAATGGTTTCATACGAGAGATTTTCTACATACATTCATTGTTTTTCAGGTCTTTGTGTAATATTTATCCCTTACTAACATCATCCCACAATGTGAAAATAAGATAACAATACTAGGAAGATGGCCCGATGTATCTAGATACAATATATTTGGTTGGCCTGAGGGAGTTGCCATAACTAAGCGGAAGTGAAATATACATAATATGTTCCTCCTACGCTGAACATCAATGGCCAAAACATAGAAAAGAAGGGTCAGTGATATGGCCACACTGTCAAAACTTCCCTGAATGGTGAAAAATAGAGGGGGCAAAGCAAGGAACCTTCTTACGCTCAATATGGGACTAGAGACAAAAAGTTAAAAAAAAAAAAGATTATGGAAACAGGATTAGCAGGGCAGAGTGGAGGTGGAAGAGGAGGCTCTGTCTGGTTTTTTTGGGGACCCCTGACCTTCCCATCTAAGATAGTTTGTTAGAGTTTAAATCAGAACTATAACTGAGTGATTCTCAAACTGTCTTTCTAGGGCAAGTGAAGGTTTCAATTCAATTGAATAAATTAAATAAACATTTATTAAGCACCTGCTATGTTTCAGGCACTGTGTTAAACACTGGTTTAGAAATTATTCACCTGCCTTGAACAATGTGGACGTCCTAATCTGAGGACAAAAAGCAGCTAAAATGGACTATTAAGACCAAAATTCATTTTTGTGGTTTCAATTATTAGTTAAGAGATCAACTCTTATCAAATTGACTGGATCTTTCTGTATTCACCATTTCCTGGGGTGTGTTGAATATGCACTTTTAAAAAATGCATCATCTAATATAATCTCCTTTTTTCATCTGTGGATCAGAAGGATAAAACTATGACATGTTTGGGTTGAAATTCCATGCCTACCTCTGTTCATAAGGATAGTGCATAAGGCATAAGGATAGCGGGAGGGCACTGGACTTAGAATCGGAAAGACATGGGTTCATATCCCAACACAGGCACTAGCAGTGTGACCCTGGACAAGTCATATAATCTCTCTGGGCCTCATTCAGTATCCTCATCTGTAAAATGACGGGGCTGGGATCAATGATCCCTTCTGCCTCTAAATCTAAGATACTATGATCATAGCCTTTCACTTTCCAATGCTTCAAGTACTGCACAGATCATGTGAGGCAATGGTCCAAGACCCTAGGAAGGAACCTAATCATTTGCCTAACTCCTGCCAAGGGTATTACTGGGCAACCAGGCAAAACAAGGCCCAGGATGATTTTTGCTAAATGGCATGGTGGGAAGGACAGATTGCACTGAATCCTGTCGTTTCCTTGAAATTCTGCTCTTGTACCTGATGTCCTCCAGCCCTTAACAAACAAGCAAGCAGGGACCTCCTCTGGCAGGTCCCTCTGTCACATAATGTAGAAATGACTCCCCAAAGGAGCCAGAGAGAAGCAGGTTTTTCAGGCAACACACTCCTATCCTACCCTTATCCTATTTGTATTCATCACTCCTAAAAAATGGCAACATCTGGCAACATCCTTTCTCCCAATCTTTTCTTTTTTAGTGTTTTGTTGTTTTTAAGAAGAAAATATTGAGCTGTGTGTATCCATTCCCCCTTCAGTCTCCTTTAATTCTATGAATACCCTTTTGAAGTTAAAACTGTGCATATCGTCTAAGACTTGCTGGAACATGTATAATGCAGAAAATCATCAGCAATCTCATCTTGTCCTGCCATCTATGAAATACAGACGACTTTTTTTTTTTCTTTAATTCTCCTGTGCTCTGCAGGTCTATGCATTTTAAAATGAGGCCGGAGATTACTCTTTAAAACTCATAGCAAGACTTTGATCACTCTTGTCAAAACTCATAAGAAGACTTTAATTTCCCTTTCTCTTTGGGGGCTTAGAGTATTCCATAGAGTGGTTGTCCCTCAGGACCGGCCGATTAAATGCTGAAAAAAAGGCCTTGATTTAGTTTGGGTAACAGACTTATTGACTTGTTTTCAGGGAAAAATAGATGTGTGCTTGCTTCACAGAGCAGGAGTTCCTAAGCTTTTTTGTATCTTGACCTTTTGGTAGAGTGATAAATCCTATGGATTCTTTCCCAGAATAATGCTTTTAAATAATTGAAGGAAATGCTAAATTTCAGTGGAAAGTTAGTGAGAATAAGGATGAAGATTTTTTTTCCCATCCAAGTTCACAGACCTCCTGAAAACTACCCACAAACCCTTTGGATGTATATAGTAGATGCCAGGTTAATAACCCCTGCCTCAAAGGGTGAAACACGATTTGAAAAATACCTTTCTGGGTGTGTCCACAGTAGAATATCAAAAGAACCCTTCCTTTGCCAGTTGTTTTTCTTCTTGGTGGCAGAGAAGGGAAAGAAAGATGGGCCATATCAAGAAGAGTTCTGCTTTCCATGAAGGGAAGGTTTTGGGGGAGAATGAAATAGGAGTGGGCTAGCTGTGACTGGATTCACATCCCTATGCCTAGTCATACCTACTTTACCTCTTCCTGCCTCCTGAATTTCCTACTTGTTGAGGGAGAGGTGGGAGGGGAAAAGTGGAAGAGGAGGACAGTCTTGTAAGGCACTGACTTTGTTTTCTATTTCTTTGCTTTTAGTCTTCAAAAGAAACGCAATCCACATCAAATACCAAAGTAAGTATATTTGCCACAACCAGATAGTTGTTGCAGAATGGACATAGCTGGGGGGGGGGGGAGTAATTCAAATGAAGCTGTCTTGATCCACAGTCATCCTTTCCTGGCAAACACTGGTCTTCAATACAGGTTAATAGTGGAAAAAGTACTGGACTTGGAGTCCAAAGACCTGAGTTCAAATCTTACCCCCCCCCCATTACTACCTATGTGTCCTTGGGCAAATGACTTAACCTTTCTTGGCCTCAGTTTCTTCTTTATAGAAAGAGGAAGTTAGCAAGCATAAATAGGTAAGGTTCCTTCTAGCCCTAAATCCTATGAAATGACAACCTAAGCAATTGCATGTTACATGATTAAATCAAATCAGCAAGAATTTATAAAATTTGGAGAGAGAAACTGGAAAAAAAAAACCTCTTACCCTCAGAAATCTTGCAATCTTGGGGTCCTTCTCTGTGGACTTTTTTATCCCTCTCCTGCCCATTCACACACTGCTTTGTATCATGCTCCATGTCCATGGCTTATTGTTTCCTAGTTCCATAGGGGAAGGGACTTTTCCTTCTCTAACTCAGAAGCCCCACTGTGCCCTGCACAGAAGGTTTTCAATATATGTTAGTTCAATCAATTGAATCTTAGGGAAGAAAAAAGACTCAGACACAGGAAACAAATAAAAAACAAGACCACGCATCACATAGTGAGGAAATTATGCAGCAAGGCTCTGAGAGGTCCAGGAATTCAGAGCTCATGGTTGACAGATGAGGAGCAGAAAGAACAAAAGTTCAAATTGTGTTAAGTGAGGGGCAGGAACCAGGATTGACTGAAGAAATTGGGTTTGGAGAGGCAGCCATAGTATGATGGAAAAAGAAATAGATTGGGAATCCAAAGACCTGCTTTAGTCTTGCCTCAGTCACTCAGTAGTTGTGTGCCCTTGGTCACTTTCTGTCTCTGAGCTTCCCTTCTTCCATAAAATGAAGGTTTGAATAGGATAAGCCTTAAAATCCCTTCCAATTTACACATTACATAATTCCATGTTACCCTCCCATCCCTCCACCCTTCCTTTATCAGTGTGTTACAGTAGAAAAAAAAAAAAAAACCACTAGACCTAAATTCAGGAGATCTGGCTTGGAAACCCAGCTCTAGCAATATTACTATGGAGAAGTCATTAAACCAATCTCTAAGCCTCAGTTGTTATAAAAAAGTGTTTGATAAATCTAAAAATGATATAGAGAAGGAAGGAAAAAAGGAGGGAAGGAAGGAAGGAAGGAAGGAAGGAA